TGCAAAGACTTGCAGCGGTTGGAAGCCCTTTGGTCATAGCGGCATGATCTCTTATAGCCTCGTATTTTTTCTTCGATATTTGGGTTTTGTTTGGCCAACTTGATCTATTTATTTTGCAATGGGAAGAGGTGCCCGGTAGTGGGTTCGGTCTTACGGTGCTTGATCCCAGTGACAGAAAGGGAACCGACATGTATGTATCGTTGCTACTAAGGATAAAAAGATGGGATCTATATCTACGCAATAGACAAACGGATCTTGTCTACATCATGTCATCGTTCTTATTGCATTATTCCATTTTTCCATGAACTTAATACACTAGATGCATGCTGGATAGCGGTCAATGTATGGAGTAATAGTAGTAGATGCAGGCAGGAGTCGGTCTACTAATCTTGGAAGTGATGCCTATGTAATGATCATTGCCTGGATATCGTCATAATTATTTGAAGTTCTATCAATTGCCCAACAATAATTTGTTTATCCACCGTTTGCTATCTTTTTCGAGAGAAGCCACTAGTGAAAGCTACGGCCCCCGGGCCTTCTTTCTCATATATTTGCCTTGCGATCTAGTTTTTCCTTGCGTTTATTTTCAGATCTATTAAACCAAAAATACAAAAATACCTTGCTGCAATTTATTCTTATTGATTTTATTTGGCGTTCGATCTATCAATCTACTACAAATTTACCTGACGTCCTTTGCCTGTCTTGAGGCGCCGTACCCCGAAAGTGATTGACAACCCCTTTAACACGTCGGGTTGCGAGGTGTTGTTATTTGTGTGCAGGGGCTGTTTACATTGTGTTGCTTGGTTCTCCTACTGGCTCGATAACCTTGATTTCATATCTGAGGGGAAATACCTACCGCCGCTATGCTGCATCATCCCTTCCTCTTTGGATAAATACTGACGTAGCTTCAAGCGACATCAGTGGGTTCATCGTTACTTCAAGTTTTGACCTCTTCAATCCCACTTTTATCAATTTTTAGATCAGGATTTACAAACTCCAAATCATTGGGACGCCTTTTAAATAAAGTTGACTCATCTCCAGTCCCATCTTTATCAGGGTTTATTTTGGCAAACAAATATTCAATAGGAGTCACATCAATCACCTTAAGATCTTCATCGTTATTTTCACGAAAACTAGAAGAGCACACTTTTACAAACCAATCTCGTTTAGCATGCATCTTAGCGGTTCTTTCTTTGCACTCATCAATGGAGATTCTCATAGCCTTTTGAAATTCATTGATATCATTCTTGGGTGGAATAGATCTAATTTTCCAAGAATCAACGTCAAGAGAAATTCTATCCACATTCCTAGGCAAATCATCAATCGTAAGCAATTTTTCTTCAACCAAGGCATTAAAATTCTTTTGCAAACTCATAAATTATTTAACACTATTATCAAAATCAGAGGACATCTTAGTATAATTTCAAAAGAATTGTTGTAGGAATTACCATAATTATTATAGGAATTACTAGGAAATGGCCTAGGATTAAAATTACCTCTATATGCATTATTACCAAAATTGTTCCTGCCAACCAAATTCACATCCATAGATTCATTATTATTTTCAATCAAAGTAGACAAAGGCATATCATTAGGATAAATAGAAGCACTCTTGCTAGCAAATAATTTCATAGGTTCATCTATCTTTCCACTCAAAACATTAATCTCTTCAATCACATGCACTTTTCTTCTAGTGGAAGATCTTTCGGTATGCTATTGAGAATAATTAACCATAATATTATCTAGGAGTTTAGTAGCTTCTCCTGGAGTAATTTCCATAAAAGTACCTCCCACGACCGAATCTAAAAGATTTCTAGAAGCAAAATTCAATCTGGCATAAATGTTTAATATAATCATCCACAAATTCAAACCAAGAGTAGTGCAATTTTGTAACATCAATTTCATCCTCTCCCAAGATTGTGCAACATGTTCATGATCAAGTTGCTTAAAATTCAGAATCTCGTTCCTAAGGGAGATGATCTTAGCGGCAGGAAAATACTTGGAAATAAAAGCATCTTTACACTTATTCCATGAATCAATACTATTTTTAGGTAAAAATGAAAACCAAGTTTTAGCACGATCTCCAAGTGAGAATGGAAATAGCCTCAATTTAAAAATATCATTCTCCACATCTTTCTTCTTTTGCATATCACACAAATCAACGAAATTGTTTATATGGCATGCAACATCTCCACTAGGAAGACCAGAAAATTGATCTTGCATAACAAGATTCAGCAAAGCAGCATTAACGTCACAAGATTCCACACTAGTGGCGGGAGCAACCGGAGTACTATTAAAATCATTATAATTAGCACGAGAAAAGTCACACAATTTTGTATTCTCTTGAGTCATCGTGACAAAGCAAGCAATCTAAAACACAAGCAAACAAAAACCAAAATGAAAAGACGAACGAAAGAAGGGCAAAGAAATGGGTGAAGGAAAGGGCGAATCTTTTCGAAAAGCGTTTTAGAAGTGGGGAGAGGAAAACGAGAGGCAAATGGCGAATAATGTAATGCAAGAGATGAGAGTTTTATGATGGGTACTTGGTATGTCTTGACTTGGCATAGATCTCCCCGGCAACGGCGCCAAAAAAATTTCCTGATACTTCTTGAACTTGCGTTGGTTTTTCACTCGAAGAGGAAAGGGTGAAGCAGCAAAGTAGAGATAAGTATTTCCCTCAGTTAGAGAACCAAGGTATCAATCTAGTAGGAGACAACGCATAAGTCACCAATACTTGCACAAACAATCAAACACTTGCACCCAACGCGATAAAGGGGTTGTCAATCCCTTCACGGTCACTTGCAAAAGTGAGAACTGATAGAGATAGCTAAACAAAAGATAAAATATTTTGGGTTTTTTTGGTTTATAGATCTGAAAGTAAAAGATTGCAAAATAGTACATCGGAAACCAGTATGATGGAAAATAGACCCGGCGGCCATAGGTTTCACTAGAGGCTTCTCTCAAGATAGCAAATAATACCGTGGGTGAACAATTTACTGTCGAGCAATTGATAGAAAAGCGCAATGTTATGACGATATCCAAGGCAATGATTATGGAATATAGGCATCACGTCCATGTCAAGTAGACTGATTCCTTCCTGCATCTACTACTATTATTCGACACATCGACTGACTCCTGCCTGCATCTAGAATATTAAGTTCATGAAGAACAGAGTAACACTTTAAGTAAGATGACATGATGTAGAGGAATAAACTCAAGCAATATGATGTAAACCCCATCTTTTTATCCTCGATGGCAACAATACAATACGTGCCTTGCTACCCCAACTGTCATTGGGAAAGAAAACCACGAGATTGAACCCAAAGCGAAGAACTCCTCCCATTGCAAGAAAAACAAATCTAGTTGGCCAAACTAAACTGATAGTTTGAACAGGATTACAAAGATATCAAATCATGCATATAAGAATTAAGAGAAGATTCAAATAATATTCATAGATAAGCTAATAATAAACCCACAATTTATCGAATCTCGACAAACACACTAAAAGAATATTACATCGGATAGATCTCCAAGAACATCGAGGAGAATATGGTATTGAGAATCAAAGAGAGAGAAGAAGCCATCTAGCTACTAGCTATGGACCCGTAGGTCTAAGGTAAACTACTCACGCTTCATCGGAAGGGTAATAGAGTTGATGTAGAAGCCCTCCGTGATCGAATCCCCCTTCGACAGGATGCCAGAAAAGGCCCCTAGATGAGATCTCACGGGAACAGAAGGTTGCGGCGGTGGAAAAGTGTTTTCGTGGATGCCTCTGGTGGTTTGGGAATAAATGTGAATATATAGGAGGAAGATCTAGGTCAAGGGTCACTGAGGGGCCCACAAGGTAGG